CCCAAGTCCTTGCCAACTGGGCTGCCCCTCAAGGGCTCGTTCCCCTTCACTCAATTTATAATCAACTCCTAATAACAAACTCGTTGGCATAATTACTAATATGCCAATAATAACCTAATAATATTCCCAATTCTATCACAAGGTCGTATTTTAAGCATATAGCTTACTGAATTGCATGGCATTGAAGCCATCAGCTTAAATAAAAGATCCCTATGGAGTACTACACAAATTTCCATTGAAAGAGTGGAAAAGGTAGAACGTGGGTACAAATCTGTACGAGAGAGGTGGACTCCCAGATAGTTGAATCCTATAATTACTTTTTCTCTTGGCTAAACTATCATTGGTTTCAATTACCAGTCAAATTTCAGTATCATTATTGAGCTATTGGTCAGTTTTATTTAGTGCTTGAAGGACCGAAGTTTTGCAATTTTACCATTATAGTTACATTTAGTAGAAAAAGCATTGCGAAGATGTTGGTTGGTACTTCTAGGGACGTGGAACAACATTTAGACAACATGGTAAATTATACTTCTCTAAATTGCCATGAAATCTAATCGTTTCTTTTTATTAACTATTCTTTGACATATGTGTTGTAAATATGAAATTGAAGAGTATAGTTAGATACGGTCCTTGACTTTATCGACAAAATTAACGCATTGGGTCAAATATAAATAGTAAGGTAATTTAGGGATAAATTACTGCTTCTCTTTTCAATGATAAGTTTCTGTCTTGGGTTGATTCTTGATTCGTGAAAAGCTTCTCGTTTAAATTAGTTGTTGACGGGTGCTGTTAAGGGCTACTTGTTCAACTTTAGGTATTGTTTGACTTGGTGAGTAAATAAAAGTGGGTTTGATGTTTATGTGCCACAGTGAAATTTACGAGCAGAAACTAGAAAGCAATGTTTATTTAGTGGTGGAGCTATGAATCATTCTGGCACCTGTCTAGTCCGTATTTTCTTGAACATGATACTTTTGGCTTCCTTTGATGTCATATTGGACATCTCTATTATTTGGAAATAAGAGAACCTGTTTCGATGTATTTTTTGTGGAGATAAATGTTTGCTTCATGATTCTGATTTGTTTATTTTAATTTTGCTTTTTCATCTTGATCAATATCCCCCTTTTTCCCCCCTTTTTCTCCCCTACAATGATGGTACCTATAACTAATTTTTTCCATTGAAGTTGGATGTTTGCCTCATGACTGAATTATCCAACACCATTACATGTCATTTATCAAAATAATGCAACTTAGCACCATCTTCTACTCTCTCATCATTAATTGCAGATCATCCTTGGTTACAAAATGCAAAGAAAGCTCCAAATGTTCCACTTGGGGATATTGTAAGGATGAGGCTCAAGCAGTTCTCAGTTATGAATAGGTTCAAAAAGAAAGCCCTGAGGGTAAGCCTTAAACATCATCTATAATTGTCCTCTGAATTATTGAATGGTATTACAGAGATGGAAATTCATGATAATTAGGAGACAACTGATCACCTAAAATGTGTAGGTGATAGCAGAGCACTTATCTGTTGAAGAAGTTGAAGTGATCAGAGATATGTTTTCTTTGATGGACACTGACAATGATGGGAAAGTATCTTTTGAGGAACTGAAGGCGGGGCTAAAAAAGGTGGGCTCACAATTGGCTGAGCCAGAGATGAAAATGCTCATGGAAGTGGTAAATTTCTATGTTCTCAAATTCAGACTGAAAATTTGCTTTATGGTTCCAAGTTTACCCCTGAATATGATTACTCTTTTTACTTGAATGATTTGTGAGCATTGTAAGCCTTCTTCTTGATCTTGTGTTTCCAAATTGCAATGCTCTTCCCCATGTTACTTCCTAATAAACAGTTGGAATATGAATTGTAACTTCATTTGCCAACCATTTTTTCTTTTACACGTTTGAGGAAATTTTCCTTCTGTGCGGATGGAAGTTGAAGAGTTTCAATTCACCAAGTCTGGTATTCCATATCGTGAACTGTGCTGTTGATCTTTTGTCTTCTACAGGCTGATGTTGATGGTAATGGTGTACTGGATTATGGGGAGTTTGTAGCAGTAACAATACACTTGCAGAGGATGGAAAATGACGAGCATTTTCGCAGAGCATTCATGTTTTTCGATAAAAATGGAACTGGGTTCATTGAATTAGATGAGCTACGGGAAGCCTTAGCAGACGAAGCAGGTGAAACAGACAGTGATGTACTGAATGAGATCATGCGTGAGGTCGACACAGACAAGGTGAGACTTTCTAGTCCACTCATTTTCTACTTGACTAGCTCTGCTTTAGTAATATCAACTTAGAGACTACTGCACAACTTGATTAATATTGTAATTGTTTCAAAAGCTCAAGAAGGGATGAATTGTTGTGTTGTTTTGAACATTTTGAAGTGTGGTCCATTTGCTATCTCCTCTCATGTGTGGGTGTAGTATTTACTTCTACTGTTTTTCCTAATAGACTCGTTTCTGTTTCTTGGAAAAACAATAATTTTCAGGACGGACAAATCAGCTATGACGAGTTTGTTGCTATGATGAAAACTGGAACCGATTGGCGAAAGGCGTCAAGGCAGTATTCTAGAGAGAGGTTCAAGAGTTTGAGCCTTAACCTGATGAAAGACGGATCGTTGCAACTTCACGACGGGGTCACCGGACAAGCCGTGGTCGTGTGAAGTGAATTCATTTCCTGATGTTGCTTTTGTTTATCCTGCTGAGTGTGTAGTGTTTGCATTCCATTTTTATCCCAGACGCACCTGCTGTAGAATAGCATGAGAGGTTTCAAACGGCAAGATTTGTGTACCAGGATCAGCTCCCTCAATGAGGTGCAGAGAAGCACACCACCATTGGAACAAGAACTTGCAGCTTCTCCTGGATCTCATGGAGGTATAGTAAATAGGCATTTTATCCCTGAAATCCTCTTTTATCTGTATATTTTTCTTACATTATTTGCTTGTGGTGATTTACTGGGAAGAAGAAGGAAGAAGATGATGATAATGGAATTGCTTGTTGGGATTTGAGTTTGAGGAAATTAATGGTTTCAGATTGTACAGATTGGAAACAGTCCAAATTTCTGCTCTTTTGGATGAAAGCCTTGGATTCATGTATTTTTCCGTACTGGGATTTTTGGGCATTCGAAATCAAAGTTTGGAACTTTGTTCAGAAAATAGAATGTCACAGTTCATTGAACTCAAATGGTTCTTTGTCTGGATATAAAAGGGATAAAGTAATTGTCTTTCTGATCATATAACTTGCTAAATAATATCAAATCAAATCCAAGTGGCTAATATTAGGTAAGTTAATGTCCATAATGTTGAGTAAAATCACCGACTGAAACCTGTGGATTTTTCTCACTTCCTACTTTGGACCATAAATTTTCCTCGCAAATAATGAATGATTTTTTTTTTCAATTTTGCAGTATCTCAAATCTTGATGGAAATTTGAAAGTACTTCTCGTGATATTTCTTCAAAGTAGGAGAATTTCAAGTTATAAATTGATTGCCATTTTATAGAACAAAAATCAACTAAATCTAATTGGTGCATTCCTTTTACATAAAGTTATCTAAGGTTAGGTGAGACGTGTTTTCATATTATAATGACTATAGGTTGGATGTATTTTCCAAATAACATTGACATGTGGGGAAAATAAATAAATATATATATATATATATATATATATATATATATATATAACTTTTGATTTACAATTTTATAATCAGATTATGTATGATTTTGTTGGATTAGATAATGTCAAATCTTATTTTCATGAATAATTTTAGTTTTATTTGAATCGTCCAAGTTGTAAGTTTTACTGTGCTATTGTTTGTTTGTGTTTGTCTATCATCATTTTTTTATGGTGTTTCTTTCAAGGCATTCTTGAATCTCGTCTTATGAATTTATTTATCTTTTTATTTATTTATTTTTAATACAATAAATAAAGGTGGAAAATTCAAAATCTATTGATCCGATACAGATGCTACCTAAACTCGGGTTGACATTTATTTCTCATTTTAAAGATTTGTACAATAAAATGTAAAAGTATAAACTCATTTAATATGAATTAAAAAAAACTTATTTAACATTTAAAATCGCTTTCCATTTTGTTTGTTATTATGATTATTTATTTTACTGTACTACTTCGTGGATGCCAAATAATTTTTCTTTTTAATAATTAAAACGTCAAACTCAATCTAACTAAACTGACGAATCCTCGCTGAAAAGTTGGAGCTTTAAATCCACATCTTTAATTTAGCTTTTGGAATTAGTCAAAAATAATTTCAATTTAAAGGATTGAAATGATTTCAAATTCCAAACTATTTTGATTTTAAGCCGTTGAAATTAAAATATATTATTTGGACATTTAAGAGAAATAAAAATAAAGTATATTGTTATGTTCTTATAATTTTATAATAATAACATATTTTAATAGTAATTATTTATTTTAAAAAATATAAATTATATATAATAAAGAAAGAAAGCAAATCTTTTAGTCAAATCAAATCAACGTAAGAAATTAAAATTTAAAATTTCATATTGTAAAAAAGCTTGTAAATATCACCATTCAAATTATAAATATTAAAGTCATGATGATTTCAAATCTAAAAACAAAATTACTTTTACTAAATCAGACTTGTATTCAAATTTCAAAATTTTAAAGAAAAAAAAGAACAAAAACAAGTCAGCAGTAATTTTTATGATGGATGCATTTGAAATATATTTGGTATCATATAATTCTAAAACTAAAATCCTAGCAAATCTAACCTTTGAGATAGAAAATATTTAAAACGAAAATTGGATTTGAAATTTGGAATTTTATGTGTATTCCAAAATAATTTCAAATCCCAACTAATCTAGAGCTTCATAAGGTAAATATTTGTTAACTAATAAAAGTAAGCAACCGGATCCGGGTCGGGTTTCCGACTCCACATATAAGTCGGATTCGGGTGACTGTTAGAACCCGAGCCCACATTGTAATGGGTCCCACGACGCAATATTCCTTCCTTCAATGAATTCTTCCAAATAACCGTCAGATTCGCAGCTGGATTCTCTTTTCCGTTACTCATCCGACGGTCACTTTTTCTTCTTCCCAATCTCCGGCGAGAAAACAAAAGCCGTGGAGAACGAGCGGAGAGATAGAGAGGGAGAGATTTTACAGAGAGAGATAGAGAGGGAGAGATTTTACAGAGACATAGCGATGGGGAAGGATTACTACAACATTCTGAAGGTGAGCAGAAGCGCGAGCGACGACGATTTGAAGAGGGCTTACAAGAGATTGGCGCTGTTTTGGCATCCAGACAAGAATCCGGCTAACAAACAGGAGGCGGAGGCCAAGTTCAAGCAAATTTCAGAGGCATATGACGTTCTTAGCGATCCTCAGAAGCGTCAGATCTACGACCTCTACGGCGAGGAAACCCTCAAGTCCGGCAAAATTCCTCCGCCCAACCCTCAAGCTACGTCGTCCTCCGCCTATTCCCCGGTCTACCAACAATATCAGCGCCAGCATCCCAATACTTCCACGTTCAAGTTCAAACCTAGGAACGCGGATGATATATACGCGGAATTTTTCGGATCGGAAGGCGGCGGCGGCGGCACTAGCAATAGTGATGGTGGAGGGAGGAGCAGAGGGGTTAATGATGCGTTTTTTAGGGTTCATAATGGGACGGAAAATGGGGGTGGTGCCCGCGGTAGGAAGGCTGCAGCTGTTGAGAATACATTGCCTTGCAGCTTGGAGGAGCTCTATAAAGGCGCCAAAAAGAAGATGAAGATTTCGAGGAATGTGTACGATGCTTCTGGGTATGTGACTTTTACGTTCCCCTCCATCAAATTTCAATTGAATGTTGTATTCTTTTGGTTCTTACGGAACAAAATCGAGTTTGCATGTTTAATTCGGTATTTGGGTTATTCTTCATTGCATGCCTTCCCTTGTGGATTGTTTATGGTAAATGAATTGTTTGGATTGGGGCCTCTGTATTGACGTTGGTCCCCTTTTCCTTCCCTTTTCTAAGGAATTCTATCACCATGAAGGTTGAACAATTTGTATGCCAATGAGATGGAATTACGATTAAGAATGTCTCCTTCTGATTGTCCTTCTGCCTCCTTTCCGTTCTGTTAGAATTAAGTGATTTAAGCAAATGTAGTCGAGTTATCGGTAGACCGACAGGCCTTTTGCATTGAGTATTTGGTTGACTAAGAAGCATTTTGGTTATAAGGATTGTTCGGTTTTATAATTTGTATCCTGTTTACCCCATCAAGAAGGTTTTGCTTGGTTTCAAATGCGATTTTCAATGCATACATCACCATGTAACTCTTGAATCTAATAGATTTCAGGACCATAACAATGTTTTATAAAGTTTTTGAGGTTTACACCACTCTTTGGAAAAAGACTCAAATTTTTAGCCTTGAAGCTTATGCCTTCTTTGGATCATAGCCTCTTGTGGAAGAGGTTTGTGCCTCCATGAGAACACACTGAAGCTTGGAAGTTTGGATTTGTACGCCTCATATAATGGTTGTAATGTTAAGTTACTACCTATTCCTAAAAGCATATAAATTCACTTTGTATGTAATGCTGATACACTTTAAGTTGTATCCCATGCATGCTTCAGGAAAGGTAATCGGTTGGCTTCTCCCTTCTACAACAGCTAGGTTTAGAAATGTCAAACTTATCTTCAGATACATTCTAATGTTGTTAATTTGAAACGTAGATGGTTATGATTGAAACTAATACTTGGATGGATGATGATGGTTTGGTTTTAGTAGTTATGTTTTTTAGGCTTAAATGTGATATTTATCCTGCTGTGAAAGAATTTGCCTCATGGTTTATATCTGACTTGAGGTTGATCAATTCTCTTGCAGGAAGTTTCGGACAGTTGAAGAGATATTGACAATTGATATAAAACCGGGGTGGAAGAAAGGGACGAAGATCACTTTTCCACAGAAGGGAAATCAGGAGCCTGGCATTATTCCAGCAGATCTTATATTTGTAGTGGATGAGAAACCACATGCTATGTACAAGAGGGATGGGAATGATTTATTGGTGAACCACGAAATAACACTCCTGGAATCACTCACAGGTAAAACTCTCGAACTTACTTCTCTGGATGGAAGGAATCTCGTGATCCCTATAACAGATATTGTCAAACCTGGTGATGAGATGGTTGTGGCAAATGAAGGGATGCCAATCTCAAAGGAACCTGGGAAGAGGGGAAATTTGAGAATCAAGTTTGAGGTCAAGTATCCATCAAGGCTTACGACAGAACAGAAGTCTGATCTGATCAAAGTTCTTGGTGTAGTTTCATAGCATAACACTCACTTGGGAAATAAGAGCTGCCCATATTAACACATAGATAGCTTATTATTTCCTGTAAATATAAACTCTGCACGATCTTGAAGAATATGAAATGCTGGTAAGTTTTTCCTTTGTTTTGGGGGGAGGAGGGGGTGTGACATTTGCTTGCGAATGCAATTTTTGGTAACAGGCAGGCATATGGGAGGCATTAGATCAGTATATATTATTTATGGGGTGCATCAACTGCGAGTTTTGACAGAGTAGTATTTTCCCTTCCCCTCTGCATTGTTAATTCTTGGGGGGTAATATGTTTGTACTCTGTACTTGGTAGTCAAGTGAGACAATTTTTAACTTTAGAATTTTAATTTCATTAAATTGAACTTTAAACGCGAATAAGTGGTGAAATTACTATCCTTGAAAAGTCATCTTTATGAGTGTGGTTGTGGTCAGCATTTCTTTTTTCTTTTTATTTTGGTTGATTGATTTATTAGAGTTTGGATTTCTTTTGGGATTTGTGTGTTTTATAGCCTGATTTTTTTATGTTTTATTGATCAAATTTTTAGGTGATTTATTGTTAATTCTCTTACTTGGTTTTCAAGAGGTTGATTTCACCACTTATTCAATCTTAAGGTTGAATTTGATGAAATTGAAAATTGAAAGTTAAATAGTCCTCTTTTAATTTTCAGAATAGTGGTCCTTTTGAGTTATTTTTTTTTTGGAATGCAGAAGATATCCAATATGAAGTATAATTGAATTGTTGTTCATATACTTGATGCTGAATGATTTCAATTATCTCATCATTATTCCACTTTGTATATTTTTATTTTGTCATTTTCAATATCATCAGGTCTCTGTCAGCATTCTTTTCTCTTAAATGAATCAAGTTACTAACTCCATGATATATTTATATAGGACAAGTTGATGGACTTCGATGACCATCTCAGCTTTCTCTCCTGAACTAACTACTTAAAAAACTGAAAAGAATTTGGGCTGAACTTTATAAGGATTCTTTTTATTTATATTTATGCACATATATATTTGTTAAACCATGGTTTGATTCAATTAAAATGTTGTTGAACTGGGCACTTCAATTTCAATTATGTAATAATGAAGCCTAGGATCTGCATTATAATAGTTTATTAGAGATTAAACTAATTATGTATAAAATATAAATAATAATAATTTATTGTAGTGTTTAAAACTTCTCCCCATTTAAATCCTGGGAGGTGTTCTTTCTCTCTATATTTTTCTTATCGCCCAAATTTAATTTTCCACTGCCCGTATTTTTCTTATGAAATTTGGTATAAAAAAAATATGATAGGAAGGCCATTGGTGTCCTTTTTATTTATTTATTTTTTTATTTGGTGGGAAGTAATGAATTGGTATTACTATCAACACTGTTGTGTCTGTTCAGGGCAATAAATTTCTGTGTGTTTTTTGGAGGATCATAAAACATCCATTAATGACTTGTTTTGGTCCCCAATTGGAGGACCACTTCTACTCGTAAAAAGCTCTTCTGTTTTTTTAGAGGATTCACATAACAACTCTTAATTATTAAATGCTATATTGGACAGGTGAAATTTTAAGAAATTGCCATCTTTAGATATTTTGTAGGATGAATGTGGCAGGATGGTATGAGCTTCACATTAAAACTAATGTGAATATAGAATCATTTCTTAGGTCAATCAGTCACTTATCATCCTCATCCTCACACTTATATTATATATGATATGATGTTTCTTTTGGATAAAACATGCCAAAAGAAACTCTTTATGCAATTTATTTATATTGTGCCGTACTGAACTGTGACACTTGAGTACGAGAGAGATATATGAATGATCTGAACATTTGAACACAAAGGATCTTGAGATGATGCGAGCATAGTCAAGAAATGTCCAGGTCAATAAGTGTCAAATATGGATTGTCAAAGCTCACGGGAGTTAGAATGTGTACTAGACAAACTTTTTTTTTTTTATTGTTTTACTTTACCAAAATTCATTGATGACACTCAAATCAATTCATTATCTTCCTCATTTCAAAGAACATTTTTTACCAAGACATATTTTGAAAACCAGTGGGTCAAAAACAGCTTCAAAACAGAATCTTTGTCTTCTTAGGTTAGGCAAAGTCCAACCTGGATTGCTTTCCTGGGTGAGTTACAGCCATTGTAAGAAAGCATTGACATTATAGATAGGGCAGTAGGAAGCAGTCAAAAAAGCCTGCACTTGCAGCTTTCACCAGTAATAATGTTACCAAAACTGGGATTGTTGCCAGAAGAAAAGAAGAAAAAGCTGTTTATTTTTCTTCTTCTTCTTCTTCTTCTTCTACTTCTTTGAGATTTGGCATATCCATCTGATCAGTTCATGTGCTCCCCTCATACTTTGCTGCAACACAAAACAGTGCTTCACCATACAAGAAGATCAGGTGATCAGAATGGCTGCCAATCCCAATGCCATTGGATTGCCAAATGCCTCTGCACTCATGTGTTGCTGCTGCAGCCAAAAGCATTAAGCTTTAAATTTCAAAAGAGTCCGTGAACCTATGAGACACAATTATGAAAGTTTAGAAGCCAAAACTTTAATTTGACCGGAGATAAATTGTCTACTGAGGCCAGAATAACATGGTTGGGTTGGTGCTTCTATGCCATTGGATGTATCTTGTATGGGAGAAAATTTAGAAATTATATATATGCATCAAACAGTTAGCGGAGAACAGTCACATTGAATAATATTTTCTTCGGGGGACCCATCTCTCTCTTCTCTTTCTCCTATTGGTGTTGAGACCATGCTATGAAAACAGCACATGTGAGCTGCCCACCCCCAGCCTAGCCACGATCTCTATACAAATTCAATCTCTCTCTCTCTCTCTAAAGCCTTTGAAAGATACCTGTCAATAATGGGATAAGAGCATTGGCATCCACAGATTGAACAGGCCCATGCCCCCCACCAACTGTTTGATGATGTAATGCTCTAAATCTGTAATGAAATTTTCACTCTAAATTTAGCAGTCTTTTAATTCCCACTCAAGATGTTGTGTACAAGCTTTTTCAATTAATTTCACTTTTGTTTCGTGTGTTTATCATCTTCTTCACTCAATTTTGATTCATTACCTGTCTTCAATTTCAAACATATGTGATATATATTAATTATGTGTTGCATATTCATTCATTTATTGGAAACAAAATGATTGTTTTATTAGACTCTTCCCCCTATGTTGGTTTTTGCATTTCCTTTTGGTGAATGAATCTCAAAAGGCCTCAGTCATTTTCTTTTTCTTGCTGTCATATTCATCACGAAAGCCTTCCAAAATGCATATAATATATATATGGAAGTTGCAGGTTGGAACTTCATTAGTTTCTCCATGATCCCAACTTATAATAGAAAATATATTAATTTATTCAAAACGGGATCTTTTAGGTGCGCGGTTTTAGTAAATTAAGTGGGAATTAATGAGATTGACAATAACAAAAAAATATGTCGTACGGTTTATAAAATGAATTGAAATTGATAGTTCGAAAAGAGAATTTGTTGCACATGCTTTAAATGTCTAGTTGTCGACTTTTGTTTGACATGTATTTATTACATTATGTTAAATAATCTAATATTTATATAATAAATATGTCATGTCATCATTTAGTTTGCAATATTAAACAACGTAGAATCACACCTCAAAATTCAAACGAGCAACCAAATCTTTTCAGAGTGTAATAGACTAAATAGAAAAAGCTATATAGTCAAAGTAAGTTAGTGAGTAAACTCTAATCAACCATCTATTTTGCATAACACTAAGAATAGCCAAACATGGGGGAGGGATATTGTGGTAATTTTAGACAGGAAAAGAAGCATTGATTAATATGAGTGGAAGTTGATGAGATTGGCAAAAGAGGGGAAAGGGGATTTGGTTTTAGAGGGAGGGTGGGACCCGTCTCGTAATATTTTTTCTTTTTTTCGTATTTCATTTGTTATTTTTTGTTTATTGTTTTCTCTATTTTGATAAAATAAAAAGTAGAATTGCGTTGCATTGGTTCTATTTTATTGTTGATTTTATTAATCGAGAATGGTAAATAATGTCGTTGCTCCTTTCTTTTCAAATTTTATTAAAAAATCTAAGTATTTGACGACTATTTATGTTTCTTGTTTTTCATTTTTAAAATATATTATGTACAAAAATCTTTAAAATAAATTTTTTGTTTCCATTTTCAAATTGTTTCAAAGCATAAATAAAAATATTATTTTATCATTTTTGGATCTATGGGTATTAGAGGACATGCAATTCTATTTTTCTTTATTAAAAAATGAGAAAGCAAAAACAATAAATAAGAACGTTACTAAACGGGTTCTTAATTTTATTGTTTCCAAAGTCTTAGAAAGATTTTTAGAAAATAAGAAACGAGAAACATGAATAATTAACAATTGTTTATATTTTTCTTTTAAAAATCGAGAATGTTACTAAACGAGTCATTTTCTTCACGTCTCTTCTCTCCGACTCCCGAGAGAAGAAAGGAAAAGGAATCATGGTCGAGTATATGACCAATGTGCATGTGGAAAGAAACCTTAGGTACTTTTTGGCCTTTTTGGTTGTCAATATTCATCCTTTTGCAAATATTTCATACCCCAGATACCAAAACCAAGACCAAACCAACACACATAATCACCTTATGATTCCCCCTTCATTTACTTTGCCCACATGCTCATGTCCTTTCCCCTTTATATCCCCTACTTTTTCCACCTTTCTTCCCTTTTGCTCCCTTTACACCTTAATCCCATCCCATCAAATCATCAAATCTCTCTCTCTTTTATGTGTCTCTCTTTTGTTTTAACCTTTTTCTACCCAGCTTTTCCGAGCTTTACTATTATTTGTATCTTATCTGACGTCTTTGTTAATACGATTCGAATACAATTAGTTTATTTACGAGTGAACTCTAAAAGGATGGAAGTCATGAATAAATTTGTATTTTTCAACTAATGTTATATTGTGCATCAAACCCATATGTCTTAAACCAAGATGTCGCATTAAGAAGCCCGTTTACTGTATTTGAAAATATCTCTCGTTGTGTTGGAATTTTGTAACTCTTTACTCATTGCAGGGATTTATTTCTATGCTTTAATGTAAATGTAAGGACTATGAGAGACTTTTATATAAGCATTAAATTGAAGTTAAACTATACAAATTAAAATTACACTTTATTGCTAAGTGAACTTAACTCAACAATAATTGTTATATATCTCTGACCATGAGATCACGAGTTCGAATTCTTCATCCTTATTGTACTAAAAAATATATGTTTTTGCATTTTCCTCTGTCCGGGAGGGCAATGTGTTTTTTAAATAAAATATCTTCGGAACATTTTAAAAATTAAAGGTTTATTTTCTCTTTTTACTCGCTGCCTTGGCTCCCTCCTTACTGATCTGTACCTAATCTAATTTTTTAATAAAAAGAAAAAGGAAGCCTCGATGAGAAGAAATTAATGTTTTGGGGAAAAAATTTTATACAAATCCCATCACGTTTCCTATATTATTATTCCAATTTTGCTGTCATTTTTAGTATAACAAAAAGAATAATAATAAAACAATCTAAGAAGAATCCTACACCCATTTATTATTCCTATAATAATATTTTTTTTATTATTATTTTCAAAAGCCCATTTAAAGGTATTTGATATCTGAACCT